TGACTTTCTTTTCTTTACTTTTGTTTGGCTTTGATGTTCCTGGTTTGGGTCATGGTCTATAAGCAGTGACTGTACAGGAAGACTATGTTGGTGGTTCGAAGAATGGAGATAGGTTCTCGAAAGTGGAGTATGTAAGAGTTGAAGTAAACAGAGATGAATAAGGATCTTTTTCAATCCTTTGTTGTTTGATTTTTACTTCAATGTAGTTGTCAATCTTCTGGATTTGAGCCTTAAGCCTTTTGATTTCCTTTTTTTTTTGCGTGAGATAGCTCTCTAAAAATGATGTTTCTCCAATCTTCCTCTAACCATGAGAGTTCTAAGGAGAGTTGTTTATAAGACTTTCTCAAAGTTGAGTTGAGATGCTGAAGTTTTTCATTAGTTTTTTCAAGATGTGTTGAGATTTTATCTATCTTTTGATCAATTTTTTGTATGAAAAAGTTTTAGGCTCTGGCATTTTCAATTTGTCAGTTTAATACTTCCTCTGCTTGACTCAATAGTTTTGTTTTCCCATCTAGTCCGACTTTTTGACACACAATATGTGATTTGGTTGTTGTTTTGGATAAAAGATCAATATTCCCAAAAGGAGAAAATCCTTTTTTATAGAATGTTGGGTTAATCATCATGCATGGAAGAGGAGTAACAGAAGGCGGCACGACAAAGGTTCTACACGTATCTTGTCTCAAGAGAAGGATACCTTCTTCTTTAAGGATCTCGACATATTGTTCATATTTCCACAAAGGGTTTGGTTTCTCTTGACAATGGAATTCAATCTAAGAACCTTTTCCAGGTTCAAACCTTCTGTTAGGAGAGAAAGGAGGTTTACACGATCCTTCTCCAAAGTCATCATCCTCGTCTAAGTCATCATCGTCTTCGTCATTGGTATCTCTAGTGTAATCACGACAATCACAGTTAAAATCACACAAATCAAGATCTGCATCCCATATGAAATGTCCATTTATCTTATCTGTAAAGATAGGTTTTCCGTTAGGATATAGACTGACGATAGGGATTTTGTCTTCTTTGATGACAGGTGATATCATCATTGATTGAAAGATGAAGGTACTTGAACTTGGGACATCTTCAGGATTCTTGAAGATAGTTTTGACAATATTGTCTACAAATCTTTTGAAAGTGACTTAAGAAAATTGGATAGGTTTTTTATTCGTATAGAGTTTTCCATAGTTAGTGACCCATTGTATAGGGACAAGCTTTTGTAGTTCTTGTTGGAAAATATTTTTGGGGATCTGAACTATGAAAAGTGTTTCATCTTGATTATTGGCTAAGACGAATAGTTTTCCATCTTTGATAAGGGTAATACAAGATTTATGACATTATCATGCTGTCTATACATTATTTGATGATGAAGGGTGGCTAACATTGCATCAGCTACTTGTTCAACTTATGTGATTTGAATTTGAACTTTCAATCTTTGAGATATAGTAAGATCTTTCAAACTAATATTAAAGTTAGGAAAAGGTCAGGGTTACACTTCCCGCATGGAAAGTGAACACAGTATCAATTACAGCATGTTCGCAATGAAGATAGATCGAATCTAGAAGAGACTTTGGCTGAAACAGATAATTCACGTCTTCTATGAAGAGAGAAGACTAGTCTTATAGTCTCATAATGAAGATGAGTGTATCCTTCATTTTACCAATACTTGATGAGATATTTGGGAATCTCAATATTGATATATTGTTTTTCTGTGGTAGAAACTAAAGAACATTCATTCTGGAGGATTAAACGTATTCTTTGACATGAGATCTTCTAGTGAAGATGAGTTTAGAGATAGACTTAAGAGTCAAAGAATGAAACTTACATCTGAGGAAACTTTGAAACATATTCTTTAGATGATAACTACGGAACCAGTTAGCTAGACATCTTTGCGAAGTCAACAATTATCATTATAGACCGACGGACCCCAATCTTGCCAGCTCATCCCAAAGACCACTTTGTTCTTAGGATAGTTTCAAACGATAATGATTCCCAAAAGATAAGATTTTTCAAATCAACGACTAAGATATATGTACCTGAAAAAGAATTTTAAAAAGTTAAAGATTTGGGAGATAAGAATTAATGGAAGAAATAATACTTCACAAAAGGATGTATCCTTACTAAAACCCACTACACGAAAATATGACAAAGAGCGAAACACAAGATGAATTATTATAATTCTACTAGATCTGATTTAAAGTAAAAGCTTTAGTTAATGATTATCATTATGACAAATTACTAAAGCAAGATTTCCTTATTTTTATACGTATTCATTGTTTATACTGCAAACGTGTTAAAGAAGATAAGAAAGAATTTATTTTATTTTATCTGAAAATATATGTTTACTTAGTAAAGTTTTCAATTCCACTTGTAATGTTCCAATACACAAACAATAGAATACAAATTTTCTTTCTTAGAAATGTTTTGTCTCTAAGCTTTCTCTTGTCTGAAAGTATAAAATATATAACTCTTATTATCTCTCTTATTCTGATGTGAGTATGTTTTGTACTTGATTCTTACGAGGATCGGCTATTACAAAACTTTTCAATCTCGAAAATTATTATATATCAAAGATCTCTTCTTATAAAAAAAATATAAGACACCTATATACCCCAAAAAATTCATTTTATTTTAATAAAAACAAATCTCTGTCCAAAATGTATCATAAATTATTATAAACTTCACAATGATCAAAGACTTACAAACCTGAGCATCGTTCATCTTTTTCACAAGTCAAAAAGTAGAGTATAAGGGTTAGTAGATATGGAACCCAGATAGAAGGGATTGAAGCAGAGGTTGGGGTAATGTGAGAATTCCAATAACCTGGAGCCTTCTTGTTCAACGCGTTTATGTGTATTTTTTTATCTTTGGGGCTGTGAATGACCCAAAATATTTATGATCTATTCAAATTTAGCATGTTTGTTATTCATATTCATTCAAGTTTATCAATCAAGTTTAATAGATAAATGTAATCCTTTTATTAGACTTAATTATTTAAATGAATTTGAGCTCAAAGTTTCACGTTAAAAACTTATGAGCAGCTCCTTTATTAAATTTAAAATTCATATTTTGTTAATAATATTGAGTTGTACTTTTGCAAAACATTAACATCTTTATTAATATATCAATATTTTTCTGATAAAAAGTTTATGCATATTTTTTTATAAGTATTTTATTATTAAAATATTGTTTTTACATGCTATTGATAAAGTTGTAAAATAAATTTAATTTTTTTCATAAAAACAAAATTAAATAAGTTATAAATGAACTTAAAATATTCAAACTCAATATTATTTTTAACAATTCAAGCTTATAGTTAAGCTAGATTAAATAAATGAATCTTAGAATAGTTTATTCTATCTATACCTATAATAACGTATAAATAGAGATGTCTTAAAATGTTTTAATTAAATTAGATTAAAAATAAAAAAAAATTAATCATAAATTAAAATAAATCTGATTTATATTGAGTTTGAACCAGATTAATAGGTCAGTTCTATTATTTTTAAATATTAGAACGGGTTTGAATCAGCTTAATAGATCCATTTCTATTATTTATTTATTTTTAATGTTAAAAACTCTTTTTAAAAACCAAAGCATAATTACCTCGATTCCTATCATTTACGGACCTAATATAGTACAGCTATGGAATGACATTTATGCGTTTTAATAATTAAGACAAATTTAGTGCTGGAATTGAAATTTATGTTAATATTACTCTTCTTCTACGTGGTAAATATTTATAGGATAAGAGTATAATGTAACCAGATCATAGTCTAAGGTGAAAAATAATGTGGAGAAAAAAATGTCATTGATTGACAACTCTTAGGATTATTGGTGTCTGTTGTCTATATATATTTATTGATTTTCGAACTCATAATAAAGTAAATCCGATTAAATTAACTCTTCTTTAACTTAATGAATTCGAAATTATTTACTTTACAATTCTACATGGATAAAATACTATTTTTATAAATCTTTTAATTTTTTTTTTCATTTCATCCTTTTTAATGTTACTCAGTCTTTTATTTGTTACTGTTTTCGCTTATTATATAAGAGAAGCTAAGAACATTTTTATTTTTTTAGTGACTATTTTTTTTTTATTTATAAGATAAACTCACTACTTTCTATCTGCTTTTAATGCTAGCAAATGGCAGTTCAGCAAACTTTAAATTTATTGTTTTTTCTTTCTCATCTCACAAAATTTTGCTTTAACTTTCTTTTAAGAATATATTATAAATGAAGCTATTGTTACTTTATTAACAATTTGTTTTACAATTGCATAAGTAAATAATACACCTCGCTTTGAACGATAAATATCTTTTCCAAATACTGTTTGGGTAATAAAAATCAGGTTAAGGCTCAATAGCAAAACAAAAGAATAGAACATTAATTTAGCATTCGAAATAGACCCAGTCCATTAATTTATTTACTTTTATCGAAAAATAAATCATTTTACACGAATAATGAAACATGCGTGGGAATAGGCATTCAATTGCAGTCAAATTAAGTGGCCACAAATTCAAAACAGTTCCGAAATTTCCTTGTCACAATAATGTTTAATCACACTTGGCGGATAATAATGCTCCTGAAGAATCGACATTTAGGCGATCAGACGTTTCTTTGGAATACTAGATCTCCAACTTAAGTCTACCAAAAAAATTATATATGAAAAAAATTACAATGGGAAAAAGTGTATGAAAGAGAGGGTAAAAAACACTCCAAAAAGGAACAATGGACTTGAAAAGTTATAGCTCACAGTTGAGTATCATGTGCGGCTCCCCTGTTTGCCTGTGCTTTCGATCAGTGCGAAACAACAAATTTTTATCACGTAAGCAACAATCATGAAACCAGCAGTACAAGTCCAATTAACCCTGGTCCAAGAAGGATGACAAGTTACAATGTGTTTCAAATTATATACTTGAAATCTGCGGTAAAACAAAATTTAAATAAAACAAAAAAAAATAATGATAACAAAATAAAAGTGCTCATTGTACGTACGGACCTCATAGAAAGCCTCCCTCTGTCCAAGTGCCATCTGATTTTCCATTATGACCAGCACCTTTCTTATTCGATTCACCTTGGTAAAAACTATCAAATCCATCATCTTTGGCATTATCCCAGCCAGCCCAATCATCATTATTATGGGGAGCTGATCTTTTAGCTGGTTGTTGCTTCCTAGAATCTGTGTGTTCCCAATCATCCCAAGAGCTTGAGTTGTAGGTACTAGACTGTCCACCTGATGAATGAGAAGGAGTTGATCCTTTCGCACGATCTTCCTTCCTGCTATCTCGGTGGTGATCCCAATCCTCCGCAGAGCTTGAGCTGTGACTTATATATTGCCCTGATGAAGATTGTTCTCTTCCAAGAGAAGAATTCGATCCTTTGTTCTGTTGGTTAAAATCCTGATAATAACCATTTCTTTCGCTCTCATTTCGTTGCCAGTTATTAGTCTTCCAGTTTGGATCATCTCTAGTGTACTCCTCGATCTTCTGGGAGGCCATGGCCATAACTCCTTTCATTATGCCCCAAGTTCTCTGTCCAATTTCTGATGTCTTTTGACTGACAACAGTGACAGTTTCATTGACCTTGTGATCATAACCACCTTCCCTGACCTGATACAAAAGGTATACAGTCTTATTCGGGCAAACCATAATGGAAAAAAGGATTCCATGGAAGTATGAAAAGCAAGAAACATTGACCTTCAATGGTCTACACATTTTCATTCAAGTAAAGAAACTATAAAATGAGCTTCGAGGGATGTGCACAATTCCTTGGCCTAACAGAAATGCCTAAAACTTCTTACAACCCTTCATTACACCGTCACTTCAACAGCCACCCACCCCCCAAAAAAAAGAAAAACAAGGACTGATGAATGTTTATGGGCCCTGAAATAGGTTGTCCGTCTACTATTTCCTACAACTTACACATCTAGATATCATATAACAAATCTGATACCCAATAAAAAAACGACCATACACTTCAAACAGTAAATAGTTAACTATACCCACGACCAAGGTTACTATACGGGCCATTTGGTTAAAAGTTGACTAGAATTGACACTGATGAAATTGATTTTAAACTTAATAAGTGATGCGTCCATAAATTACCTAACCTACATATGTTTGTTGGAATAAGTTTTTACAAGAAAATGGGAAAATTGATAGCTCTACATCCTCAAGACCACAGTTGTTAACAGCACACTGACAGCTGAGCTAGTAGTTAACTGATGCACAAAACTTGCCAAGTGAAATTAAGCTTTTGAGTATGTAAAGCCTTATGCAGCCTATTTACCAACAATTTCCGCAGCAGGTTGTAAAATGATGTCTTGAACAGTTACATCCCAATGACTACTACAAAAAAATGTGTACTACATTTTGACGGGTGTTTCTAAAGCTTTTGGGGGATCATAGTAAAAGACACTTACGTGACTGAAGTACACAATTTAATGTCCATACGTGAATCATATTTGTATGTCCCAAGGACATAATACCATTTTAAATGGGAGGAGGGGGTAGAACAACATAATATCTATTCACAGACTAGACATGTGATGATGAACATCACAATGTGAAAGGAGAATTTATTAATTTATCACATAAGTGGATAAACATATATTTGAAAATCATTTGGGATATTGTTTTATGCTTTCATCTGAATGTCATCAGACATTTTCCCGATAGACCTCATTTACCAGTTTTCATCCATCTCATATCACACTCTCAACAGCATTTGGCAATCCCGGCCGCCCGATTATTATTTGCAATCCTCAGAAACGAGGCAAAACTCAATGAAAGCACCAAAATTACATAAAAAGAAATTTGTTATTCATGCTGCTCATACACAGATGAACTTTCCAAATCACAAGAACAATACCAACAATATATACAAATGAAAAAACAATAATTTATGTCTCCTCTTCGTTTATTTATTTGTACAGATGAAGGGGATAAAGTTGGTGCCTTTGTTTCAAAATACACTACGTTTAACTTTGGAAGAAGTAACACATCGAAACAACGCATGGTTGGAACATCTTCAACAAGCATTCCAAAGAAACAAACATTTTTTGCAAGGGTTTTTAGAGTATCTGAGACCGTAATTGTCGCAGCATTTGCTACAATTTCCGGCAATATCAAGGATTGCATAGTAACAGGGACCAATCTGCAACCGCAATTTAAAACCTTGTATTTGGTGATAGAAAACAAAATTTACATTGGCAACATTCATATAATACAATGCACAGAGACGATGCAGAATACCTTAGATGTGATCTCTTTCGTGCCAGCCTGAACAACATGAGCCGCAGATTGAGCAGCAGAAGCAGCAACCAAAGACAATTTCCCAATCCCCTGAAATCAAACACTACCTCATAAAAAAAAAAAAAAAAAAAAAAACACGAACAAAATCTTCAAAACAAACTAAAGAGTTTAATCGATTCAATTCACCTGCGAAACGACAGATAAATAATCGTTTTGAGCATCGTTCCTCCTCTGAGGGGGCGCACTGGATCCGAACCCTACGTACTTCCCTCCCTGCGATGGCGGAAGCCCCTCCGGCCGCGACTCGTTCTCCGCCATCTTCCTCGCGAAGAAGCTTTCCTTGTTCGCCGCCGACGCCTCCAGCTGCGATCGCGTGATGTCCTCCGTCGACCTCGACCTCGCCGGCGCGCCGGCCCCGTTCAAGTTCCTGAAGTCCCCGGTCGACCTGCTCCGGATATCCGCCGAAATCCCCTCGTTGTCCCAATCGTCCCATCCTCCGTTTCCAGCTCTTTGCGTCTGCGTCAGCAGTGGCTTCCCCTTGCTGCCGGCGAGGTTTTCCTTAACGACCGGTGGATCGCGCCAGGGACGGCCGTCAGCAATTGCCTGGATCCGATCGCGGTAAACGGCAGCGGCGTTGGTATTGTATTTAGTGACTATGTCTGTCTCCTTGGGGATAGAGTACTGAGCGAGAAAGGCGTTGAGCTTATCGTTCCCTCCAGCTTCCATTTTCTTGATCTGGACTTCGGACCAGGAGTCCATGGTGACGGATCGGACGAAGGAGATGTGGACACCAAGGCCACGGTGCTTACCGGAGCACTCCAGACACATGAAGACGCCGTACGAGACAGAGGCCCACTGCGGGTTCTTCTGGGAGCAGTCGACGCAGATCTTGTTCGCCACCTGGGATTGGAGGTCCCGTAGCCGCCGCGACGCTGCCGCCATTGGAATTGGTGGAGAAGAGAAAATCTAATGCAGAGAGTTTAGGGTTCGAGAGATTAGACGAACAAAGTGAATCGCACCGGTGTGGTGTTGGTGACTTGACTTGGTGACTTGTGCCACCCATCTGGGAATCATGGTTTACTTATTGATAAATAATTTTTTTCACAACTAAAATTTAGGTTAACTTATATTTTTAAATATATATTTTAGATTTTTGTAATTTGTTTATCTTGTGATACAATATTATTTTTAATTGATAATGTTTCATACAAAATTCGTTAAGATGAAAAACATTACTTGATCGAGAATTGTGTGATTTTTTTTAATATATTTTTCATTTTTATTGAAAAATCATAAAAATATTATTAAATAGTGATAGTTACAAATATTATTATGAGTGTCATTATTTTAATTTACGAAGGATTTGTGAAGATTAGTGATTTTATTTTATAATTGATTTTGAAAATCAAATAATATATTATTAATAAATAAATATAAAAATAAAAACAAAATTATAAATATTTAAATAAATATATTATATGATCTTTTAATTGTAACCACCCTAGAAATCACTACTATAATGATATCTTCACAAAATATTAAACAAGTAAATAAGAATATTTATATTACATTATATTACCTGTAATTGTAATATAGATCGAAATCTTGGTTCATTAACTGAACCTTAAAACATAAGTAACATAACTTATTTATATAGATACATGCAAAAGTAGCTCCCACTAAACTATCTCTATTGTCCAGGTAGTCGCATCTCCACCTCTCAACTCCTGATCTGCTCCCACATAAAAGTGATAATCGCAGTCTCATCCACATGGAAAAATAGGGATAAATATTAAATAATTCGATATAATAAAATAGATATAGAAGTAATGATTACATATTATCATCAATTACAAATTATCAATACACTAAAATGTCTTCCGGAAGTTTACCCTAACTATGCCCGAACTTAGAGACTATCGTCTGTGGGCACATTATGATCGGCACCCGCAGTACCATTCTAACCACCCTACACACAGAGTAGGATTACTGGCGCCCTTCATCACTCATACTGGAGTACCCCTCCGAGTACGCCACCAATCATCCCCATCGACTTCTCACCACCTGATCTCGTAGTTTACCTGACCCGACCAATCAGTGAAGTCTGGGACCTCATTCAGAATCCTCCAACATAGTTATTACACTAATGTACTCTATACCACCCCGAGTACCATTCAAACACAACAAAAATCATTCACATCTGTTTGATTCTGGACCACCCGTCCTCATGGCTCATTTCGGTCAATAAATAATAGTATTTGACTAATTCTGGGCACCAACCCTCTGGCTCAGTCTAGCCCATGCATAACATCTCATGTCTGATTCTGGGCATCAGCCTTTAGACTCAGTCTGACCCACACACGTCATAATACTATTGAATCTTTAAAATTTCTAATTTCATTCTATATTTTAATTATTTTTCTTAACATACCTTTACTTTATTTCTAAAATTCCAATTATACCTTTAAATATTTTCTATTATTCCTTTTTCATCCCGAAATAATTAAATTACTCTTTTGCCCTTAATCTTTTCTTAAAATTCTATGTATGTCCCTAAATGACTATTTTACCCTTGGACATTCTCTAAAATTCCTTCCATGTCCCGAAAATGACTATTTTATCCTTAGACATTTTCGAAAATTTCTTCCATGTCCCAAAAATAACTATTTTACCCTTGAATATTTTTGAAAATTTCATTTATGTCCCTAGGATGCAAAATGACTATTTTACCCTTGATCTTTTTTAAAAATCTCCACCATATCCCTTTCTTCTTCCTCCGCCCAGTAATCATGCCGAATTTTTTCTAGATTTCTAATTTCCAAGTTTCAGGCAACCAAACTAGTTGCAAATCGAAATTAATCATGATATATGTTCAATTTAAGTCAAAAACAACAATTTTATCATATAATTCATCCTTAATTTCAAGAATTTCAAAACTTTCAAACCAAGAACAGTCATCAAAATCATAAATTTTTCAAAATCACATTCAAATAATTCATATTTCTACTCATATTCCTTATTTAAAGAGTATACAACAATTCAGTTTCATATATTGAATGAATTAAACTTCTCCTTACTTAATGTTGTATTTCTACCGAAGTTTTCCTACTTAATCAAAGTTTTCTTTTGTTTCACTAGATCCTGCTAGATCCTGCACGAGTAGAGTCTCGTTGCTTGAAATTTAGACAAAAGAAAAAGAAGAAGGATGAGAGAGAAAACTACTTACTAAAATTTCTTGCCTCCTCTCCCCTTTCTATACATACATATATATAAAAAAAATTATTATCCAGGAGGAAAAATTCATTACAAAGTTTTTTTTGCATAGAAATATTATTATAATATATAATAATAAAACATCATGTCATAATAATCATTAAAATCATAAATATATATAAAAATGATAAATTTTAGAATCAAGACCTTTAGTTGAAAAAATAGGTTAAAGGTGAGAATTTTTTTTAATTGATTGAATAAAAGAAAAGTATTATTTATGATTTTTAATTATGTAAAATAAATTATTTGATATTTTCTTTTTTTATGATCTATGAAGATATGATTGTATAAATTATTTTCTTTTAGTTGTATGAATTAAAAATGGTATAATTTATGTATTTATTTAAAACTAAATGAGGAAATAATGGACGTAATTTCTTACTTTTTTATTTATTAAGTTTTTGTTTTTTTAGAATGTGAATCACATTTTAGGATTGTGAAGAGAAATTTACCTAAATAATTACTGTACAAACTAAAAACACATGCAGTTTTATCCAGCATAGTTATTTTAACCAGTATCTCCTAGCAAAATGAAATCTAAGACAACATTTTTGTTTTTAAAAATGATGCTTAATTTTTAAATTTTAGGTTAAATAATGGTTTATTAACTATTTTATCAAAATAACTTATAAGAAAAATAAATAATTTTCAAATTAAAAACAATAGAATATATTTTTAATTTTTAGAAACAATTTTTGACATTATTTTAAAAACTACACAAAAGAAAATAATATCTACAAATATACAAAATTAGGATAAAAAGTTAGAAAATAATTTTTATAATTTTATGATAGTAAAAATTAGATTATGTATACAACTATTTATAAAAGACATAAATGTTATTAATTAATTTCTAAAAAGTAAAAAAATAAAAATACTTTTTAAAACTATTTTAATAAAATAGTTATCAATTAAATATTTTAATTTAAAAACTAAAATCCTAAAAACTGTTCTTAAATATAATCAATAAACAATTTTTTTTATTAACAGTAAGCACGTTCTTTTATAAATAGTTATATTATATAACTCATCTTATCTTATGCTTAAACTTTTCTGATTTGGTGTCATCCTCTTTTCTTTAAAATAATTTTCATATTAAAAGTACGATTTTTTTTTCAATTTATTTTAAAAAACAGTTATTCAAATTATTTCTAAAATTATAAAAATTTAAAAAATAAATAAAATTAAAATGACCATTATTTTTTAATTCTTAATCACTTGTATCAAACTACTGCTTCTGTCTCTTCTTTTTAATGTAAGGTATTAAACTTAATCATCTAATATTATAGTTTTTTTTATTAAAATTTATATTTTTGAAAAAATAACTATTAAATATAATAATAATTATTATTATTAGATAAAGTTAATTAATATTTTAATTTTGATATTAGATAAATAAAATGTTATTTTAATAGGTGAGATGAAGATTTTTCTTTTCTTATTCATATAAAACTACGAAAAATTTCATCATATAATTTATTTTGTATCGTATGAAAATTAAAAGATAAGATAAGTATTAATATTATTATGTATTTTGAAATAGCTTGTTAAGTGACCTTGGAATTATATATGGAGAAATAATATTTTGATCAATATGCACATAAAGTGAAAAAATTGTGTAAGTAAAAGTTATATGATATCCATTTTAGCAAAATAGATAAATTGTTTTATCATATGAAACAATTAAGTTCCAATGCATGAAATAAGTTTTTTTTCACGTCATATTTTTTAAAACTTACACAAGAAATCTCCAACAACCTCCCTTAGCAACTAATTCTCAACCTATACTTTTAAAATAAGATACTGTGTAATGTTTCAAACTAATTAAATTCTAACATTTCAAGTACAAATTTCCGCTCTCTTTTACAATATTTGTACCTTATATATACCATTTTCTTTTTATAATACTTCTTGTGACCTCAATATATTTATTTAATTAATCAAATATTTTCTTACAGAATTCTGACAGATAACATGTGAGATTTTAAAATATTTATATATAAGTGTAATTTATATTATTATTATTATTTTTATATAAATTTTCTAAAAAAAATGAATTTTATTTATCTTGGATCTTTTACGTAAACTATTATACATGGGAATAGGTTTATCAAATAATTGGTGTGAATATTAGCTGTATATAAAAAAGTGACTATTATTTATTATTTTAAAATAATTAAAATTTCAAAAGATATAAATGTTAGGATGGTTAATCTCTTTCTCCTTAAAAGTAATTAATTTATAATAAAGTTCATATATCAAATAATTATTAGGAATGATGTTTATAAATAAATAAACAAAAATAAATATAAAATAATATTATCTCAGAATAATATATAAAATTAATTTTTTAATTTTATTAATTATTTAATTTATTTAAAATTATGAATATTTAAATTAATGTTTTACTAAATAATAAAAATAAATAAATAAATCTAAAATTTAATTAATCTTTAATGATAATTATTCATTTTAATTCTAAAAAATCCAATTTTTAGTTATCATTTTATATAATCTTCAAAAATAATTTTTTGTTAAATTCAAAATAAAATAATTAAATAATATAAATATAAATTAATAAAATAAGACTCGTATATAATTGTAAATAAAATAAATAAATACAAAATAAAATTAATACTTAATTAAAAATAAATAAATATAAAAAATAA